TCTTGCTTTATTCTAGTTTAGGTAAATGAACAGGTACTTTTGGCAGGTTGAGACTAAAATGCTGAAGGGTTAATTTGATTCCCTAATCTGTTTCTCAATTATATTTGGAGAATACTTAGGGAAAATAATATTTAAATGTCTCCTGAAGCAAGTATGAACACCATCATAGAAATACCTACAGGCCAAGGCTTATCATTTATTGGCATGAGGTATCATGAACTGAGGGGAATTCTGACTTTCTCTTTCCTGAAAATGATTGCCCCCCATTGCTTTGTATCTATTTAGCTGTTGTGCTTTGAATACCTACGATATAGCTGTCTCAAAGAGCTAACAAATACAGCTGAACCTGTTTCATTTTGCCTTTTCTGCATCTTACGAATGGTTAGCAGTTCTCTCTTAAGTTATTGTGCAGTTTTCCAGTAATCTAGGAAGCACTTGAACTACACTGATATACGTCGGTGTAAGGACCTACTGTTTAAAGTCAGGAAGAAGAAACTGTCTTTTGCATTGTTAGGATGTCTTAGTCACCCTCAGGAAGAGGGTGGTTCCTATACAATATCAGATTTGTGATGTCCACTTCGAGTGTGAAGTTAGACTCAGCTGGGTGCCTTGATACTAACCAGTTGCAGAAGGTATGTATTTAGTCACTGTCAGGGTGGGACCATCTTTAACTGCATGTCAGGCAGAATCTCTGAGCCTCAAAGCAACTTCAGTAGGAGTAAATGTGTCCTTGGTGCAGTGTGGGTGAGTCTGTGGTGAGTGCAACTAGCTCCAGCAAAAGGCTGTATGGGGTTAAGCTGAGGAATCTCTGACTCCCAGTTTAGGAAGATGGGGGGTGATTCTTAGACATGAAGAGACAGAGGGTCTTCCACTTCTGTCTCTTCTTTCTCGTCACAAAAAAAAAAGAGCTGTTTCCACCTTCCCTTACAAGGAAGGATTCTTCTGCTTTTCAGGTTTTTCTGCCCAGTTTGTTGCTCTTTATCAGTAGTTCTGTGTGTTTCTCCCTAAGAGGGAGAGTTAGTTGAGGTGAGATGCAGTTATCTGTTGAGGATAGCTACTGTTAATGTAGCCGAGAAGGATGTTACGTACAGGTTTCAAATGGTTTATGTTGTTTCATAAAGAAGTGGCGTACCTAAAGTGCAGTGGGTAATGTCTGTGTTTCTTCTCCCACCAGGTACCTGTATGTTCTAGAAAACTGAGCAGATACTGTACTGCCAGGAGGAGTAAGAGGCAAACATTTGATGTCATACCTGTTCCGGTATTATGCATTCAGCCAGGTCTAGCTCCCAATTTTAAAATGCTTACAAAGACAACTGATCTTGCCAAAACCACTTGTAGCCCACTTTTGTTGCAAGATTGTACGTATGCAGAGGTTTTCCACTCAATGCTTTTATATATGCAGACTATTGATATGGAATCAAATAGGTCTTAAGTTAGAAACTGAAACTTTTTGCAGTGTAAGTGAAGTTAATAAAGGGCACATCCTGTTTTACATTTCATTAGTAGCTGTTACTCCATGGATGGCTCTGTTTAAGTTCACTCTTTTTTATCCTGTAGTTAATACAGAACAAATTAGAATTCTCATACAAAGACATCTTTTCTTTCGAATAAGATCTAGTGCTGACTTGACACCGCCTTATTCAGAGTAAGCTGCTGATATTAAAAATGACTGATTTCAGGCAAGACGTAATGAACAGGTGTTGTTTCTTTGTGTTTTTTTGTTTGTTTTTTTCCCCCAAGGATTCTCTTTGAACATTTGCTTCCTCTCATTACTGAGGTTGTTTGCGGGTGTGTGTGTGTAACATAGTGGTGGCTATAAACCTTGATAGGCCTTGGAGGAGGACTGGTTAGACTTGCTCCACTGAGTGTTGTATGTCACAAAGCCTTCTCTAGCTGAAGAAAAGGCAATGCACATGGGCAATATTCACCCATTCTTTGTTGTTTCTAGAAGTGGCACAGGTGTACAGTTAAAGTTGGATCCTTTTGGGCTTTTGGTTTTGGATGTTTTTGCTTGGGTGGTTTTTTTGTTTTGTTTTGTTTGGGTGTTCCCCCTCCGTTTGTTTTCATTTTTTTGTTTTGCCTTTTGTTAAAGGGTGTATATCAAGGAGGCTGCCCTAAAATTACTTTGCCTTATATTCAGGTGCCTTTGTAGTTAAAACATCAGGAATACTGAGAAAGGTCCTTGGAAAAGACACTTTTCAGAGAAGGGAGACACCGTAGATCAATTGATTGGTGACTTACTGTGGATCAGCTGTAACCTGCTGATAACAGGAATAGCTGCTTTGCCTTGTAGCTATTGAAACTTACCTAGTGCTAAAATCTGTTTCTGAATAACGATTCAGAGTTAGAGCAATGGAGCATGCCAGGTGTTGCTAAGTGTTAGGGATACAGGAGGAGAAGTTTAGGGTTACTTTACATTTGAGGGGGAAAAACGCCTTTCTAACTAAATGACATGTCAAGGATCATGCCTTAAACACAGTTGCTGTTATTTTTAGACAAGTGCTATAGTTGCTTCTTCTAGATGCAGTAACAAAATTGACAAAATATTGGAATATGATTTTTACTGGAGTTATTGCACCGATGCTGGATTTACAAGGCATTCACTGCGTAGTGGTAGTTCATAATACAAAAACCACCTTCTGGTTTTAATACCCTGGTCTTTACCATGGTAGTAGTACAAGCAGAATTTAGAAGTTTATATCTTTGTGTTCTGCTATTCAGTGCTTCAAACAGTGCTTCTGTGTATAAAGAAGTGCCTTATTTTGTTCTTCTCCACAATGTTTATTGCTACTGAAAGCGTTGCTGTGTTCATACCGAAGTGCAGAGATTCAGCCATTGTAAGCCTCTATTTTTCAGTACTTACATTTATAGCAGCATTGCCCTCTAGAGGGCACTTCTTCTCATCATTTCAGTAGATAAGTGTTTTTTTTTTTTACATTAACTAAATTTCCATGAATTTGTATGTGATACTGCTACTGTGAAGTGAACAAGATGCATCTATTGAAAACCAGTTGTCTCTACCTGTCAGGCAGCGAGATATGGGACAAGAATAAGTGAAATGTTTGCTTCCATTCTCTGAAAGGATGCAGCCTATGCTAGCAGTTTTCAACTGAATTGTTTCTGAAATAGCTATTAGGGAAGAGGTCAAACTAATTAAATAATGTCTTGCCTGTTTAGAGTGCTCCTGTCCTAAACAGCTTGCAGTGCAGTATTATGGTGTACAGCATTCGAAGTGGAAAATCCACCAGCAGAGTGAAATACAAGCAACTTGCAGCTTAGGCTTATTTTGAAGCAGACAGCAGAGCCTAGATAGGTTTAGAAACAAGCTCCTGATCCCCTGTGATGGATAAGTAGACATTAATGATACGAGCTTAGTAATTTCTTTAATTTTTTCATATAAGAAAGACTTTTGTTTAAAACAAGCTCCTTAACAAAATTGTTATCCAACTTTTATAGTGAACCTTGTGTACCTGTATGTCTAGTGCAGAAACAGTAGGTGAGAGGCAGTGGCAACATGTGTTTCCTGAAGCCATTGGTAGAAAGTTTACAAACCTAACTGCTGTCTCCTAAGTCCTTGTGTATTGTCGTGTTCAGTTTATCTTATTGCTAAAAGCTGGTTGGCCAAACTTGCTAAACAGCTTGAGTAAATTATGTGTTATACACAGACTCACATCAAGTATGCAAGAAATGCTGTCTTCAGCATTTTTCATAATCATGTTGCACACAAAAAGAGTACCTGCAGTGCAGAAATCAAAAGGCAGTGCTGTCAGAATGGTTTTGGTGATGTTGCCTTCATGAAGATTAAAACTGGCCAGTTGAAGCAGATTGTGCACTAAGAATACTGAAGTTCACATTGCTGAATAAGAAGATATTAAATAGGGGGGGGGGGCTGGAAGTAACTAATTTGTGAAACGCACAGTTCTGACTGACTTGAACACTATCTTGAATACATCAAATTTCAGCTTTATTCTGAATTAGCTTGCCTTGTCAGATGTGTAGTGATTAAGTCACTGTCTGAACCCAGCTGGTAATGGGCTTGTGGCAACTCCGCACCATAATAATGGTGCCACTCTAAGATTGAAGATCTGTTTGCAAATTTACTTTATCCCAAATATGGGTGAGATAAAAGATTAACTATAGGTAAACTCTGTTAACACATGACTGAAAAGAAGGCAGGTGGTTCTTTGGAACTTCTTCAGATAGTGTTACAAGAATAGAAAAAGTAATTTGGCTAATATAATTGTGTAATAATCTACCTGTAATGTTCCCGTGCTGAATTATAACCATAGTCTTTAAAGATGCTATTTGGGTAAATCCTGGAGAGCTACCTAATAAATGCCACGAACGACCTACAGTGACAAGCTGAGCGTGCCTTGATGCTGCTGGTTATGGCCTGAAATGTGCTATAGCATCGTCCATAGTCCCCTTCTGGAATGTTCTCTTCTTCCCTTAAACTCTCCCCCAAAGCTCGAAAGATACAGGAGAGCGTTAGCTGATCTCTAGTGTGTGTTGAAAATTAACTGAATGAACCTTGCTGGGTTTAGCTTGAAGAGATAAATCTACAGAAGATAAAATCTCACATAAGGATAGAGGATTTTGGGGGGTAGCTTTTTGATGGGAGTAGTGAGTGCAAAAAGTAGGCTGTGTATGGTGGGCCTAAGTTTTTCTCATCACAAGGAAATGTGATGGAGTTACCTACAAACTAGAACTGGGCTGTGACTGAAGATGTCTCCTTCAGCTCCCTGTTTCTTGAAGGACTAATGGTGGGAAGAGGGGGAATAAAGAAATTGTACAAGTCTCTCCAGGCTACTCAGTCCAGACAGGAGATGTGCTGTAAGTGCATAATCCAGACTATCAAAATAAAATTGCTCTTACAATTTTAGTCAGTTCGTTCTGTCCAGAGTATTGTTGCAATCTGAGGTCAGAAATCTTGATGTCAGTCCAGAGTGACTGAATGCTTATTTAAAGGAAATTAATGGTGTCTCTTTCTCTTCCTTCTAGATGGATTGAATCTTCTGTGTTGAATGCCTCCGGATTTCCTATTGGATTTCACGTCTGGAAAAATACTTTTGACTTAAGCCACTCTGGCAGACTGAATTGTGGATCCAGGGTTCCTAAGACTTTAGATTTGAGGAGGCAGCCGCTGCTGAATCACGTTAACCTGATATCGCAGCCACAATGGTGCTGTCACAAAGGCAAAGAGATGAACTGTAAGGAATCATTGTTTTTAACTTTGTGTTGTGTTTTCATTAAACTTTAAATATTTAAACTTTTGTTTCCAAATAGATTTTACACAGTGGCTCTGCTCACATGCTGATCGAGTACCATGTATTATGGTTTAGATGTCTGTACTCTTTGTTTTATCAAATACCAGCAGTTGTATCAAATAGAATTGTGAAATGCTGAAAATATAATTTCAAAGTTATTAATGGCATAAAAAAATGGATTCTTAAATTTGCTGTAATTCATTATCTATTTTGTTTTGATGTGAGTCACAAAGTTATGAAAGAGTTACAGTAAGCAGCAAGCATATTGCAATATATGCTCCGAACTGACTTGTGAATTCTGCTTTTGTCTTGAGTAAATTCTGACACTTTTTTGCTATTTTACTCCTGAATGTAGATAAGGATCTGATCAGGATGTGCTACATTGTGATTACCATCTTTCTTTGACTCCTTAAATTGTATTTAAAATGGAGAGTCAATTTAAAGGAAAAAAAAGGCAACCAAAACCCAAACAAAATAATAAAAAACCCCACCCCACAAAAACCAACAAAAAAACCCCAAACAAACAAAAAAAAAAACCCAAACCAAATCAAACAAACCAAAATACACACACCAAAAGCCAAAAAACCCCACCTTATTTCAATGTAAGATACAGATTTCTTTCCAGATTTTAAGGCTAGGAATAGGCTGTCAAGTTCCATGCCTTGGTGTGCTTTCTTTTCTGTAGTGAATCATTAAAGAGTGAGTGGTGGGTAGCGATCAGGATGACAATGTCTCCATGATACCCATTTTGATAAATTTGCATAGAGTTTTTCGTTTGGTTTTGGGTTTTTATTCGTTTTAGAAGTATGGACCAAATGTCATTTGGGATTTGGCATCTCTTGTCCATGGTAAGCACTCTATTTTTTTTTTATACAACTGTTTCACTCTTCTAGTAATGATTCAACCCCCTTTATATGAAATACAGTACGCATTTTACTTTTTTGTTTTGTATACTTAAGTGCAGTTGTTCTTAAAGTAGAGTAGAAGCTATCTTCAAATTTTGATTTTTACAGCTGTTCATTAGATTTGGAGAAGCTCTGGGGCTTAAACACATTCAGGATTACATATTGGTTTTTTGGTGATGTGTTTTGGTTTTTTTTTAGCAATTCTCTAAAGTTTTTTTTTCCTGGCAAATACTTTAAAGAATACATGTGTTAACAATTCATTACTTCCATCTCCTCATTATGAATGGAAATGGGAAATGACCAGAGACTTAGAATTTACTTTAGAGGTCTGATGAGGAGGCAATAGTTTGTTTTAGCATATGTTATTTATGGAGAGAGATTTGAAATTTCTGCTTGAATACAGAGTTATATTTAGAGTTGAATGTCCAAGAAGAGATTGAATATGAGTAAAAGGTAGGAAAGAAGAATGTGATGAAAGCCACAGGAAGAATTTTCATGTGAAAAAAAAATTTCTCTTCAGAACAAAAAGTCATTATTGCTTCTTTCTTCAGCTACCAAAGGGTATTAATTTTCTCTTGAATGCCTTGTGTAGATGACCTACTAATTTTTGTTTTTAAAAAGTAGCTGTGTATCGGTTTCCTTAAATACTGTAGTATGTGTATGTCTTCTCTCCCACTCCCCATATATGTATGTATACACACGCATAATATCCCTTCCCAAGAAAGTAAGTGATAGTAAGAAAACAAAACTAGGCTTCCTTCTGGAGCCTGATAAAGTAGTTGAAAGTAATTTTACTTTTAAGTCCGTTTAGAACATTGAGCTTACTTCTCTTAAGCAAACTTCCTTTGTTGTGTAACTTGAAAACATTTATCCATTTCAAGTGAATTTTGATAATGCAAGGTTTCCTTAGTCTTATTCTCTTAAACAGAAGGTGCTGACTGCTTGTTGAAGTCTTAGAATAATATTGAAACTTTGAGTAGGTCCAAAACAAATGCATGCTATCTTGAGAGATTCAAGACAGATTAATTTGGTAATTGTCTTGTGTCAAATTGTGGAATATTTTGAAGAATAATGTAAAATATGAAGCACTGTACATTTTGGCCACAGACAGTATCCCTTCCTGTAATCTAACTCGAAGTTACTGTATCATTCTGAAAAACAAAGCTAAGACGTGTTCTATTGAACTGAGCATTTTAGTCAAGTTAAACTGAAGTAAAATTTTGTACCCTAAACTGTTGTACGCAAACTAGTTTTTCTTCAAAGATAGAGCCACAACTTTAATATGTAGATGTGGTTGTCACTTTTATATCTGGTATGAGTTTTATGTATGGTACAGATTGATAAGTATATTCATGCTACTCCAATGTTTGATAACTTAAAAAAAAAAAACAAACAAACCCCAAACCTCTTCACCAAATGTAAAATAAAAAGTATATCTTCCTATTGATATCTTGAAGCAAAATCTGTTCACCAAATGTATTTATAAAATTTGCTTGGGCTTTTAACAAACCTAGGTGTTGTACTGCATTGAAGACCTAGATGTTGATCATGCTGTTTTTAAAAAAAAAAAAAAGTCTGAACCAGTTCTTCTACTCTCATTCAGAACTGTGGCTGAAGATATGCTGTTCTTTGTTTTTTAGAAATCGAGCAATAGCAGATTACCTTCGTTCTAATGGCTATGAAGAGGCTTATTCGGTTTTTAAAAAGGAAGCTGAGTTAGATGTGGTGAGTTCAAACAAGATTCTTCATTTATATTTTAAGTTAAGAGTTTACAATTTTATGGCATTTGCATCCATTCTGAACATGTATATCTACTATCTACCTATTAGCTCATGCAGTTTCAGAACTGGAGGTGTTAAATTCATACAGCTTATTGCCTTGCCATAACATTAAAAACTAATCATTGGATGACTTGGTGATTTCTCGGCAAAACTCTTACATTTATCTTCAACTAATGACTTAGGCATATTTTTTATTTATTTTTTTTTTTGGTCTAGCTACCACTCATCTATACAATGCTGAGTTTTTCCAGTAATGGCCTTTTAAGGATCCAAGTCCTAAGACAGCCTAGGTACTTCAAGATGAAAGGTGCTAGGAAACAAAGCTAACAAAAGGCAATGTGAATGTATAAAAAAGGTGATAGAAGGTGGTATTTAAAAAAAAAAAGTCATGGCCCTTCACTGGACTTCACTGGACACTCCAGCAACTCCATATAGGACTAGAGCATCTCTTGTATGGGGAAAGGCTCAGAGAGCTGGCACTGTTTACCCTGGAGAAGAGGAGGCTTAGGGGGATCTTACCGTTGTTTCTAAATGTCTGGTGGGAGGGTGTGAAGGTGAAGGTGACAGAACCAGACTCTCCTCAATGCTGCTAGCGACAGGACAAGAGCCACTGGGCAGAAGTTGAAACAAGAGGAAATTCCATCTGAATATAATATAATTATTTTTTTTTTTATTGTGAGAGTGATTGAATGCTGTAATAGGTTGCCCAGAGAGGTTGTGGAGTCTCTGTCCCTAGAGATACTCAGAACCTTACTGGGCACAGCCCTGGGCAGTCTGCTCCAGCTGACCTTGTTTTGAGCAGGGAGTTTGGACTTAAATGCTCAATTTTAACACGTTTAATTTCTGTTTCATGCTGTTGTGTCCACCCCCCCCCCTCCTCCCTGGAACTCATTTCTTTAACTGTGCTTATTCTTATCATGGAATTCTGCGTACAAGCATAAACTTTCAGCAATCCAAAATTAGAAAACTGAAGACTCTTCTCTTGTAACTGGATTTGAAATGGTATAAGACTATGCAGCTTTGGAGGATGACTTCACATGGTAATGTTTAAGAAACAGGAAGACAAAACAGGATTGCTTTTATCCTCTCCTTTATCATACTAAGCAAATGGTGGAAGTCTATTTTGTGATTGGAATTGGGGCTAGTTAGATCACTGCCTGAAAGTGTTGCATACCAGTTGGTTAACCATATAGTAGGACGGCAAGCCTAAATAGTTAATGTAAGTTGATCAGCTCTGGTAAGCAGCTCTTACTTTGTTAGACTGTACAGATGCTAATGACTTAGACCAGTCATTTATTGCAACTTAATTCTGTTGATTTTCCTTTGTAACAGATGATTCTTGGTATCATTTTTAAACTTACCACTTATTAGCATAGGAGGTGTGCATTCATCTGAATTTAAGTTTCTCTGGATACAGCTGGATTGAGTAGTGAACTTTTGTGCTGGCTTTTGATAAATCCTTGCCTGTTCTCTATTACAAATCTTGTGTTGTTCTTTTTCTAAAATTCTCGGTTGACGTTTGACTTAATTTCTCCAATCTACTTCCAGTATATAATAAATAAGTAGAAATGACAAATTGGAATACCATACTTATAATTGAAAATCCTAATACCATTCCCTTATCTGCCTTATCTGTCAACCTAATTAAGTCATCACTTCCCAAAGGTTAAAAAGGCAATCTAAATAGGCTAGGTGTTCCTGCAGGACATAGAAAATGCAGTTGCTAAAAGTTCCACATGACTTTCTTGCAAGAAGATCTGAGTTGGATGGTGCTATACTAAAATGAGGGGAAAAAAAAAGTTAATGGCAGAAATTATTTCAGTACATTGGAAAGATTCAAGTGTAGCCCTACAAAGAGAGATTTCCTTTTTTCTATTCATTATTCCTGTGAATAACTCCAGCTTCTACAAATGCCCCTGAAGCAGTAGGTTAACATCTGGTCTGTGACAGAGGTAGCCAGTCCTCAGAGCTTTTACAGAGAAAGCCATGGCATTGTTTTCCGCATGCCTTTGTTATTCTCCATCTAATAGAGGATTATTCTAGTATGAGATTGTAATTTTGTACATGGAAAGTGTGCAGCATTTAATTACTCTTCTGTGCTTCTGATGTTGTTTGTTTTTCTGTGTTGCTTTTCTTCTTTCTTGTGCTAATAGGTGAGACAGGGAAAAAAAAAAAAAAAAGAGTAATCCTCTGGCTTTTACAATAACATCAGCTGTTCATTGTTGCCCCTCAGCTATTCTTTAGAGCCTAAAGGAGAAAAATATTTAGTGGAAGAAAATTGTTCTTCATTGAAGTGTCATTAGAGTTGCAAAATCAGTGTTGATTTCTCCAGTATCTGAGGTGGTGTTCAGTAGGGCAGGTGTAGTAGTCTGCTTTCTGTTTCAGTTACTGAAGTAAAGATGCAGGGAGAGTGGACTTAAAGCTTGTCTTTGAGAAGGTAGCACAAAATAATGCAATATTATGCTGGTAACTGAGGTTAACTATAACCGAGTTTTTTAAAAAAAAAATAAAAAATCAAGAGTTAGTTTGGGCTAACTGGTTTTCAAGTGAGATGGAGCATATGTAATCCTACCCTGACAGCTGGCCGCCACTTGAAAACAGTGTGTGCTTCCATGAGAGAAAAAGTGCATTGTGCTAACAAGTAACAGTGCTAGCACACTCTTAACTCTGAAGGTAGGAGTTCATTAGTTCCTAATGTTCTAGTTGGTGGGTATGAAAAAGGAGACTATCTTAGAGAAACCAATTACTAGGTCTATATGTCTTCGTCTGTGCAGTCAGTGCATGCTGCCTGCTGATGTCTTTTGTACGAGTTACGTGGGCAGAGGGTTGAGGTGAATCCTGTTAGAAAATATGACACAACGTTCTCTGGTACGGAGAGCACTTAAGAAGCTTTCAAGTAATGAAAATAGAAAACAGCATAGATAACAGTTTAGCCGTAGTTTTTTGATTATTTGCAGAATCTAGCATCATTAATCTGTACTGCTGCAGTATTTTTAATTGAAAATTATATTTTAAAATGTTTTCTTCTTGCCTGTGTATGTAAATTGTAGCTATTAAAATTTGAAGTGTGATTGTTCTGTTTAACTAGTAAAACGTAGTATAGTCTTTTTCTTGAATTCCTCTTTCTGTGGTCAAGAGATTTTTATTAAAATGAGCTGTTTATGTTGCCTTTTGAAGAAACACTTCTACAAGCTTCAGAACTAGAATTTACTGATTTATTTAAATGCTTCTCCTTCTCAGAATGAAGAGTTAGATAAGAAGTATGCTGGACTTCTGGAAAAAAAATGGACATCTGTTATAAGATTACAAAAGAAGGTAAGTAGATATCTGATGGATTTACTCGTATAAAAAGTTATGACCGAAAGCGAACATTCATCACTGAACAGAATGTTATGCGTTCTCCTTGTCAGACAAATGCAGGGTTTAGAAAATGATGCCTCAAAGATAAATTTGGAGGACTTGAGTAGGGAAAATAGCTAAATCTGTGTGGTAGAAAATGTTTTGACTCTCTCAGTGCTAGGAGAGACATTGTGTCAGTTTCTTTATAAAAATTTCTTGACTTCAGTTTATGGATTGCATGTGCAGTTTCTGAGGCTGGAAAGGAAAGAGGTGCCTTAAGGCAGTCAGTGAGTGGAGTGGAAAGAGCTTTCTCCGGAAGGCTTGACTGGTTTAGGAAGAAGGTAAAAACCTGTGCTGCCAGTTGTCTTTGGCCATTACGTTAAAGGGAAGAAAACATTAACTCCAGTGCATTACAGCAAGTGATTCTACTGCAAGTGGACAGTACAAAACTCTTTTTAGTAATGCTTCAATGGATCTAGAGTGTATTAAAAGCGAAAAAAAACAACAGTGAAACAAGCCAGCATGCTACCAATAAAGGCCTGTCTATTGTGAAGGTTAATATAGCTAGGGTTTTATTACACCTTCAGTTTCTCTGCTTGTGGTTAACATGCATTCCATCTTAGGGATACAAAAAATTATTGCAGTAGTAGCATTCCTTTTTGTTAACAGAACCTCCTTCAGCAGTTTGTCAAAATAGTAGCTCAAACATATTTGTACAGTATTTGAGTGAACATGATCTTGTAGAACTCTTTTTTTCCTGTCAAAATATTTGGGAAGTTGAAGAATAAATTATTAATGATTAAATTTAGGAATAAACAATAAATGATTAGGTTTGATTTTTAGAAATACCAACAGTATTGAATGTTGGTAATCAGTTTTGATCCATGCAAGCTTTACTCTACTCTGAGTTTGGGAGCCAGTTGGTATTTGAATTACTAATGAGTGAAGGTGAATTAAGTCTTGTATAAAACTAGAAATGAATGGTCTCTTTAAAATTCATAAACTTAGGTAATGGAATTAGAATCGAAGCTGAATGAGGCTAAGGAAGAATTTACATCAGGTGGACCTCTTGGTCAGAAACGAGACCCTAAAGAGTGGATTCCTCGTCCTCCAGAGAAGTATGCGTTGAGCGGACATAGGAGTCCTGTCACTCGAGTAATTTTCCATCCGGTTTTCAGTGTTATGGTCTCTGCTTCAGAGGATGCCACAATAAAGGTATGTATTTGCTACAGAAAATTAAACTAAACAAGTCGGAGGATGTGTAATAAGTAACATCAATATTTCAAGTTGGAGGTATGTTGTACTGGCGGAAGATAGTTTGTTTCAGATTCTGCTTTAGATTCAGTAGGGTCAGTTCTTTCAAGTATGATGGCCTGTGTAATCTGCAAATTATAGTTTTATGCTGGTCCAATTAGTATCTTCAAGAGTATTTTGCTAGCCTTTGACTTGAGGAAAAAATAATTGAGCTAATGTGGATTTAGAGACTGGAGAAATAGATAAAAGATCGGTGGGGGAAAAATGCATTTTGACTGCTCAATAGAGGAAGAATGGCATAGTGTATAGAGTATGATGTGATGTGATGAGGAGGAGAAAGACAGTTGCCTCAAGTTATCTGAAGTGATTATTTTTACAGCCGAGTTAAAGTGGTTATGCAGTTGTATTCTTAACTGAAAATTAGTTCTTCCCATTTATTCTAAATGGGACATGCAAGTCTCACAAAGTCCCCATGACTTTCGGTAATGTTAAGTGGTCTTCATAGGCCTTTATTGCAGCGTACAGTGGCATGAAGAAATTTGTTGTAGTAAACAAGTAGTTTCTCATTTTAGCATCCAATAAAGACATGATTGTGTATTTTGTTGTTCTTTGAATGTCACAATTTAACGGAATATCCTGATAGAGGACACTTCTCATTGTTCTATGCTGGTTTGAAAACTGTTTGGAAAAGTGCTGTTCTGAAAAATGTTGAGTGCTGTATTAAGCAATGTGCTTAAAAATGCAAGTTGTTCTAATACTGCCTACCTTTGGAGAAGATTTAAATAAAAAATGTCAGCCAGATCTAGTTCATGAAAAGCTTTAACCTGTTCTTGTTTCTGCAGCAGACTTGAACATAGAGCACTGGTGTGTTTTAATTCAAGCAGGCAGGGCCAGCTGAAACAGTGATAGCTCCGTGTTTGTTAGATGCTGTAGAGGAGCCTAATTAGCTTTGGTTTTGCTCCCTCTTACGGATACACTGGATGAATTTCCTTATTCTTGAAATCAAGCTGTGTAGCTTAATTTGTGACTGTTGCATTCCCAGTCATTGCAATCTATTGGGATAATGGATTCTTTTTGTTGTTGGGTGGGTTTTTTTGGGTGGTGGTGTTTGTTTTGGTGTGGGGTTTTTTTTTGTTTGTTTAGAATATAATTTAAAATGAAATGTCTAATTTTGTGCTTGAGAGACAATAAAATCTGTAGGAGCTTGTTTTGTTTCAAAGGCTTTTGTTTGTGGTTAGATGATAGAAGACTGACTTAATTGGGAGGTGAGAATGGAGACTTCATGCTATCTTATAGTTACTAGCTGCAAATGTTTATTTAATCTCTGACAAATTCTGTAATCTACTAATGTGTGCATATCAAATTCTTCAGAGTGGTATGGATTATCTTCCTTAAACCAATGCATTCTCAATATTGCTCTTTAGTGTGCAGAATATTTGCTCTTTGGTTCTGAAGCAGCAAGTGAATTCTGGAGCTGCAGTAAAGCTTGGGAAAGGGGGGCCAGGGGGAATTGTTAACGATGATGTTTTCCCCACCAACAGAAAATGAACTGTATTGCTGGAGTTGGGGAACTAGCATATAAAGGGATAGAGAAAAACAATCTGTACAAAGTGAATTTGTTCTGTCCAATGTTTCCTAAGTTGATCTTTATTTTTAAGGGTATTGGGTGTTAAGACTTAGATACAATGGAATTTATTTTCCTGCTTTAAGTTAGCTGAAAAATAGTTTTTAAGTTGCATGAATTCAGGTAATATATAAGTAACAAAATAATATGAAAATAATGCTTATTTTTATATGCTGTTAAGCTTTTTAGGGCTGTCTGTCTTTGTCCCTTGCTCAATTAATTATTGAATAAGGTGCCAGACTGGCCTGCAGAGCGCAAATGTAAGGCTGGAGAATACAGAGTAATAGGTTGCTGTTAACGGATTTTCTGTTCACTTGTCAGGTGTGGGATTATGAGACAGGAGACTTTGAACGAACCCTTAAGGGGCACACAGACTCAGTGCAAGATATTTCCTTTGACCACACTGGCAAACTATTGGCCTCCTGTTCTGCTGATATGACCATTAAGCTATGGGATTTCCAGGGCTTTGAGTGCATCAGAACTATGCATGGTAAGGTATAAAGGGAATTGATTTAGCAGTCTGTAAAGTGAATATTTTTCTTTTTAATCCAGAAAAACTGCTGATGCGGAAAGTGGTTATAAACCAGAGTACTGTCCAAAAGAAAGAGGGGGGATATCTTGATGCTTTGAGTGCTCTGTAAACAAGGTATATGTTTAGTGTCCATTGAAATGAAATAGCATCTCAAATCTCCTATGCATGATGCTGTGGGAAGCATCCCATCATGATATTGAAATGAAATGGCAGTTAGAGGGGTTTAGCGCTAAAAATTAAGTGCTTACTAGACGATAAAACTGTGCCTTCAAATCAGTAAAAAATTAGCTTCTTAACCTCT